CTTATTTATATAGAAGAATTTAACATAATTTATATTAGATGTCCTAACTGCTTTGTCTGATTTTGGAAATAATGCAAAAACTAGGAATGATGATAATAAACGGAGCGAATGCATAAGGGGGATATTTGCCACTTTCATTTACCTGCAGCCATCAGAGTCTCTTAGCAAAGGTGGTTATCGTATTTCCACTATAAACACGGTGAAACGGAGGCTCAAAGAGGTTAGGTTAGTTCCCCATCATTAATCCAACACAGCAGAGAGTTTGCAACATATTTCTGTCACGACCAAGTCTCTAATCTTTACTACTTTCCCAGCCAGGACCTCTGGCACCTGGGATGCTGGTTAAAAATTCAACCCCCCGGGACCTATTTGGTTTTGAAGATCTCGGGCCTAGGAACACATGATTCGTACCTTTTGACAACCTCGGATTATTCACAAACAAGTGGTAAGGAATCAGACTTTGAGAAGCACTGAATGATATCATAGAGCAGTAGTTCTCAGTCCTATCCTGGTTAGAATCACCTCGGGGATTAAAAAACAAAAGTACTGCTGCCCCTGCCCCAGTCCCAGCCCCAGCCCCAGCCCCAGCCCCAGAAATACTGAATTAATTAGTCTAGGGTGAGAACAGCCATTTGCATTAAAAAAAAATACACTGTCTTAGGGAAAAATCCAAACATTTGAAAACTATAACAGTAGAAAAAAACAGTATTAAGAAACTCCAGTGTAGATATCAACCACTTTACACAGTTAATTCAAGGCCAGTCTTGTTTCATCCAAGTCCCATGCCCTTCTTATAAACCCACATTATTCTGAAGCAAATCTCAGACATCAAATCATTTCATTGTAATTATTTCAGTATGCTTACACTTATCTCTAAAAGATAAATGCACTTAAAAATTACAATCACAATGATCAAACCTTAAAAAGTAGCAATTCCCTAATACTAATAAAATGTCCAGTCAGTATTTAAATTTCCAATTATTACATAAATGTTATCATTTGTTATCATTACTATTATTTTACAGTTCACTTGATTAAAGACAAAAATAAGGTCTACACACTGAAACTGGTTTATCTGTCTGTGATGGTTAATTTTATGTGTCAACATGAATGGGCCATGGGGTGCCCAGATTAAGCATTATTTCTGGTTGTGTCTGGTAGGATATTTCCAGATGAGATCAGCATTTGATTCTGTGGACTCAGTAGATTCCCCTCCCCAACGTGGGGGCATCACCCAATATACTGAGGAAATGGATAGAAGAAAAGTGGAAGAAGGAAGAAATGGCTTCGCTGCTTGAGTTGGGACATCACCTCTCATCTACTGTGTTAAGAGTGGGATTCACCCATTGGCTTCCCTGGTTCTCAGGCCTTTGGACTGACTGAATTATAGCACCAGCTTTTCTGAGTCTCCAGCTAGCCAATGACAATGTATGGATTTAGCATCTATAATTACATGAATCAATTTCTCATAATCATATATTCATTCTCTGTCTACATATACATATATATACACACACACATATATCTTCAAAAATTTCACGGAAAATGTGTATTATGAAAACACTACGCATGATTTTAATTTTTTTGCCATCAAAATAAACATACTTTAATCCATTTTCCCCACAAACTTTCAAAGTCCTTTCATGTATATGCATATATCCTGTTGGTTCTGTCTCTGCAGAAATCTGACCGGTACAGTGTCTCCTATGTCTCTTTACATCTGCTTGTTCCTTTTCACCTTATTTCTCACTATTCTTGCAATGTATTTGTTTTAGACACTGGAGAACTGGGTTGTTTGTTTTGTAGATATTCCCACAGACAGGATTTTGCTTATTTTCTCACTGTGAGATCTCTGATACTGCTTGTTGGGTTTAGATTCTTGATACAATTTAATTTAAATTCAATTTTTGAGGAAAGGGATAAGGCATTTTCATAAATGGGGTTGTGTTACTTTTATCTAGGGGCACATAATGTCTGGCTGCCTAGTTTTGTGACATCAACAACCATGGACGATCACAGCTTAAATCCACTAATTCATGGGGTTTGTAAATCCTTCTATTTACGTTCTGTAATTTATTAACTAGAAGCTTCCACTCACCTACTATGACTATCTAGTACTGTGGTTTGCATGTGTTCACTAAAATTCATGTGATGAAATTTGGTTGCAATGAAATTAAGAGAGTAGAAACTTAATCTGAATATAGGATTAAGAGGTGAGACCTTTGGGAGGTGAACAGGATGAAGATCATCAGGGTGCCCTCCCCCCCTCAATGATTGAATCCTGGTAGGTTTGAAGGAGAGAGAATGAGACAGACAAACGGACACGGACACGTACTGTGTTCTTCCTGTGTGATGTGATGTGATGCTCTGTGCCAATACCTGATGCAGCCTTTAACTTTGGGCTTCTAAGCTGTGAATTAAATAAACCTCTGTTCTTGGGACCAGCAGTTAGCGTAATGGCTATGTCACTGAGCTCCCATGTAGTCAACTGTGGTTCGAGTCCCAGACCGTGGCTTAAACTCACGCTGGCTGTGTTTGCGTGCAGGCCCAAGATCCCGAGAGGAGAACGGAGGAGAAGGGATTGTGGCATGGCCATCCCCCCTGGGGGGTGATTTCTCTCTTTCTATCTCTCTGTCTCTCTCTGCCTTTCTGGCGAGCACATGTGCCCTATGGCAAAAACCTCTCCAAAGGTTTCTGTGGCCAGAAAATAATGAGCCTTCTTATGTGAATTTAATAAAAAATAAAAAACTAAAAAAGTAAAATAAACGTCTGTTCTTTATATATCACTCAGATTCAGGTATTCAGAGACAGAGAATGAATTAAAACATCCCATCATTCAGTTAGTGTTGAAAAGACAGTTCTTCCCCCGTTAGTTTTCAAAATAATGAATTTGTGTGCAAACATCCTCTGATACTTATCACTTTTTTAGATCATTATAGGTCTAATATCTTTCATGACATATTTGATGTGTTTCACTTCATTGAAATTATTAACCTTAATGCTAAAATAGTCTCTTTTTTGCCTGTGTGGGCTTTGTTGGGTTGGTCTCCCGAGTCCTTTTGACATGCAGTTTTGATAGGTTCCCTTCTATCTCAAGTGACAACGGTTTCTTGGCAAGATTTTACATTTTTTTCTCCAGCCCTGGAATTAGTAATTTCTCCAAGTAATTAGGTGTCAATATTTAAAAAATAAGTTTCTCAAGTAGTTTGAACATGTAGCTTAGAGTGAGACCATCTCAAGAAGGGGACATTTCTTTTTTTCTTAAAGAGAGATTTTTTTTTTTTTTTTGCAATAGGGCGCATGAACTCACCAGACACAGAGAGAGAGAGAGACAGACAGACAGACAGAAAGTGATAAATCATGCTCTGGGGGAATGACCATGCCACAATTCCCTCTCCATTCCTCTCTTGGGATTTTGGGAATGCACACACATGTGCCTGGTGTGAGTTTTAAGCCACTGGGTCCAGGACTCAAACTGCAGTCAGCTATGTGGGAGTCCAGTGATGCAACCATCACACCACCTGCTGGTCCCAAGAAGGGGACACTTCCCTAGCGTGGCAGTACCATCCTCAGATTCAGGTCGAATCTGAATCTTGATTCTGTAGCTAATACCAAGGTGTTTCCACAGATTTTTAAGGTAAATTATCTACTTCCTCAACTTTAATGACTCTTTGGTTTGTTGTTCATAATTTTATACCACTTATATTTTTAACAAGTCTCCAAATAGTACTCTCACACAAAGAACAAGGTTTCAAAAACAAGAAAACTGTCCAATTGTTAATACACCATTACATTGTCTTCTTTCCCTTTTTTTTGGTATTTGACTTTTTGGGGAAATAAAAACAATATCCATATAAGTCTAGTTCCACCTTTCCTATATAATTTTTTTGATAATTCTTTGACTGTGTGGCCAGAAAATAATGAGCCTTCTTATGCGAATTTAATAGATAAATGGTATTGAATACTTTTGCAAAACCTGTATTATGCATCAATATAACAATAAAAATAGAAAAAAGTTTCCTGATAAACCAGATGACACCATTATGTGATGCAAAACAGGTTTCTTAAATGTCAAGTTTGGTGATAAAATAATACTTTCAGCAAAATTGACTCTAGTCTTCCCACTAAAGTAACAAGGAATACCCAGGTGCTACTGCTGGGTTTTAATATTAGAATCTAACACTAGTCTCAAGACAGAACTTATTTGGTTATAACTACTCTGAGAATTTCCCAGTCCAACTCTGTCATATGAAAATTTGGCATCTCAGTGCCAAGGTATATGAACCCAGCACTTGATGAAGTCATGGCTTTGTATACTAAATCCTTGTGGTCACCTCCCCCACGGTGACAGGGAACTTCCCTGTTGTAGAGTATTATTGCCAGCCATTCAAAACACACATTTTAGTGGTTAATTGAAGTATCAGTATCTGTCTTGTGATCTGAAACATACTTCCTTTTCCTTTTCAAGACTTTTTAAAAATTATTATTTAGGATTTTGCCATAAGGCATGTGCGTTCACCAAAGAGAGACAGAGTGAGAGAGAGGGAAAGTAAGAAATCACCCCTTTCCACTGGGGAGATGGCCATGCCATAATCCTTTCCTCTCTATTTTTCTCCTGTGATTTTGGGCACTCACGCATAGGCATTTGGTGTAATTTTTAAGTCTGGGTCATGAATCATGGTCGGCCATGTGGGAATCTAGCACCTTAACCACCATGCCACCAGTGGGCACCGGACAATGACTTTTTTTTTTTTTTTTTTTTTTTTTTTTTCTTTTTTTTTTTTTTTAAAAATTTTTAAGTCACCTAAACTTTAACTTTTTTTTTTTTTTTTGGCTTTTTTTAGTGTAAAACTCAACAAATTATAATAGAATCTTTTAGGATTGAAGTCCATAAAACAAATTTATGATAATACTAAAAATATTCCCAAATATAGTGGAAAAACAAATTAGTTCTAGTTAAATACTCTGCTTGCTTACCTCTAATTCATAGCCAGGTTCACATTGATAAATAACTGTGCTTTTGAAGTTGTATTTACTGCCAACCACAAATCCATGTTCTGGACTTTCAGGACTCCCACAAGAAACTGGACTACAGGATTCATCAGAAAATGGTGGCTCCCAGGTTCCATCAAGCTAAGTAACAAATAACAAGTTATAAGTCACAGTTAGAAGTTAATGTATATGGATAAAGATATTTGCAAATGTTGGTTATATAGCTGAAAAATGCTGAAAACATAAAGGACATAGAATTTGGTCCTACTTTGGCTACTTATTATCTATGGCCTTAAAAAACACACATTAGGACCAGCAGGTAGCATAGTACTTAAGGCACTGGATTCCCCCATGGCGGATCATGGTTCTAGTCCTAGACCCAGAAGCTTGAAAAAATCACAACAAATTACATAAATAAATAAATGTTTAAAAAAAGAACAAAAACAGCACATTATTAGACAGACTAACTAAACAATTATTAACAATCACTAAACAAACTTAGACTTTTCTTAAACATATAAAACAATTGTTTTCTTCCTCATAGAACCTATTCAAATATCAAGAAGACCAAGAAGTATGTATTCATGAGGAGTTGGAAGGTTGATACAAATATTCTATTATTTATACTAATATACCCTTGTATCTCGTGAGTCCACATTTTGATTTAAAATGTATGAAAAACTAACTTTTAGGCAAATGAGTCAAAGTTTTAAAAGATGGCTTCCAGCTGATGCAACTCTCTGCACCTGGCCCCTTTCCTCTCTTGGAAAGTGAGTACAACTTTTCAATCTGCTTACTCTCTGAGTCTGTGAATTCTCTCATGCTTGTGACACAGACCACCCTAGTATTTGGTGACTCATATGGGGAGATACTATCTCTCTCTCACACCCACTGGAGACTCATACCTAGGAGAGGATAAACCCAGGATAAACCCCCTAGTACTGTCTCTGAGGTTGTCAGAAGGCTTTCTTTTCCATCTTTCATTTCTCTTTCTCTGATCTGCTCAGTTCAGCTATTAATCACTGCAGTTAACATCTTCATCACGAGCATGCACCTGTAGCTCTTTGTTGGTCCCCTTTCCCCTTTTTCTCACCCCTTGGGATGTTAATATTTGCTAGTTCAGAAGTGACAGCCCCTTGGTTTTGAAACTCTCATGTTACATCTATCGTTTTCTCCAGGATTTGGAATTGGGGGACACCTCTTGACAATTTCCCTGGTGTGGTTGTCTTGTCCTCCAATTCAGTATGTCTAATCTGGTGCAGCTCTCTCAGTTGCTCTGTGTCTGGGTTCAGAGATAACTAGCCTAGAGCAGATCTCAAGGTCATCTGAGTTGGGAATGCCCTCTTCAGACTTAGTCCCTTTCTTTGGCATTGTTAAAGTCCTGGGAGGTCTTAAGAGGTGTCTCTCCCAGTTGTTACCATAGAGAACATTCAGTTGGCCTCTTTCAAAGACTCTCCATCAGGATATCTCCTTAAGAACCTGGAAACTCGGGGACCAGCAGTTAGTGTAACGGCTATGTTGCTGGACTCCCACGTAGTTGACCGCGGTTCCAGTCCTGGACCTGGTGGCTTAAACTCACGCCGGGTGTGTGTGCGTGAGTGCCCAAGATCCTGAGAGGAGAATGGAGGAGAAGGGATTGCAGCGTGGCCATCCCCCTGGGGGATGATTTCTCACTTTCTGTCTCTCTGTCTCTCTCTGTCTGTCTGGCTAGCGCACGTGCCCTATAGCAAAAATCTCTCAAAAAATAAATAAATAAATAAATAAAAGAACCTGGAGGCTCTAGGACTTACTGAATTCAAACCCAAACACCTAATTTTCTACTCCAACACAGATTGGCCCCAATATAAATTGGGTAACCAAGAAATCTGGGCAATACATGGATCACTTATTTTCACCTAGACACTGTCACTCCCTGAAGAAGTGGATGGAATAGTGTATGCTCAGGCTTTCTTTGAACTTCTTACAACTCTGATCTTCGGTCCTCCTGTTGAAGGCTTTTTCTCACCTCTACTTTCTTACCCCTTTCCCAACCAAGGCTACTGAAGACATTGCCCTGTCAGCATTGACCATCCCCTTTTTACCTGCCTGAGTCACCTCAAGATTCCTCTTCCTCTTCCTGTTGTCACTTTCACCTGCCTCTCTACCCTCTTCCACTTCTTCCCTTCATCTCCCTCTCCTCCTTCCCTAGCTTGGACTCACTAAGGCTGATCCTTTCAGGAATCCTCTGACTTAGCACATCAGTTTCTCTCACATGAAATGGCTGGAGCTCATGGCATTATCAGAGTTCACTTTTTCTTTTTCAATATCTGATCTCTTTCAAATTGAGGCTAAATTTACAGTTTTCCTGTCAACCCAACTAAATTTACTAAGGAATTCAAATACCTCACCCTGTTTTAGGATCTGTCCTCGTAGGACATTCAGATCAGTTTTTCTATTTGTACTAATCCTGAGGAGGGAGGTTGCATTTGGGCTAAAATAAGGGATATCGAGATAATCTGAATCAGACGCTGCCCAATACTTATGCCTCTGGTTCCACTGCTGTTTCCATCAAGGTCCTAAATGGAGCTATCAGCACGGGTCTGCAGGTTGCAGATGCTGATTCTCTATGTTCTCTTGCTTTACTGAGGGAATGAAACCAGCCATAACTAAACCCCATCAGCTACAATAAGGTTAAGGAATTACCCAGAGTCCAGATGAAAACCCTGCTCTCTTCCTCTCCAGGATTTCAGAGCCTCTTTACCTCACCCTAACTTCGATCCAGAGAGGACCAACCTACCCTTACAACACATTTCATCTCCCAGTCAGCCCCTGGTATTTGGTGTAAACTCCAAAAATTAGAAAAGGGCCCTCATACCTCACAATCTGAACTCATACACTTGGCCTTCAGGGTTTTTTATAATTCTAGCAGGTGAACAGAGAAAAGGGAGTGAGACTGGCAGTTGTCCCAAGAACAAAAGCAGGCCTTTCTAAATGGGGGCCTCAGCAACTGAAGGAGTGTTTCAGGCTCAAAAGAGGATATACTAAAGTCCCCCACCCCAATCAACCACAATGAGGATCATCATTAGCAGCACTGGAGTCCCAAATCTGTTTCTCACTGGAGCAGAGAATGGGCTCAGAAAAAACAGCCGTCACTGGGACCATGCCCACTTTGTAAACAGGCGGGGCACTGGAAGAGGGAGAGCCCTCTCCTCAGAAAGGGAGATGAAACCCTCCTTCCAGAACTGGCAGGCCATCCTAAGAAGTTGCTTGGCCTCCTTCAGACCTCAGTCTGATGGGCCCCTGCACTGAATCTGGCTCCCCTGTGTGCCATTGAGATGACCAAACCTCAGGGAACTCTCTCCATTGCAGGTAAATTAATCAACTTCTTAACTGACACCAGGGCTACTTACTTTGCTATTCCTGAGTTTCTGAGTTCCTTGTCCCCTTCACCTGTCTTTGCCACAGGGATTGAAGGGAGACTACAACCGTACAGATCCCAAGCTTATTTTATACTCTGGGAGATCAAGTCTTTGCTCATACATTTTTAGTAATTCCCAATTGCCCTACCCAACCCCTCTCAGGATGAGGGGTCTTTGCATGTGTGTGTGTGTGTGTGTGTGTGTGTGTCTGTAGTATGTACTTGTAGTATGTTGTGTCTATGTGGTAAAAGTCCATAAGGCTTATAGATAAATTAGAGCACTCATACAGATTTAAAAAAAAATTCAGATGGCTTCCTTTTCTCCATTCCAGTATGAATACTTGAAAATATTCTATTATATATTTTTGAAGGGTCCACACAGTTTTAAAAAAAAGAGTTAAAATGTTCAGCCTTATGATTGGGTAAAGTGAGGGACACACCTATGTTTCTCTTAAAGATTGTTTTTCTAGGGTTAATTTTTTGTGCTTTTTTTTTTTTTGAGGAAATAGTATATGAGTTGGATTAACAACTTAAAACAAGATTTAAGGCTAAATAAATTATTTATTCTACATACAAGCCAGAAGTAATTTTGTATAAATGCCTGCATCACAATTATTAATTACCTTAATATATATAAACTGTTTTTAATATTTTTCAATACAGGTTGAGTATCCATTTTCTGAAATGCTTATGACCGAGTATATTAGATTTTGAAACTTTTCACATTTTGGAATATTTGCACATATATATTGTATTATATATGTGTAAAAACAAAATTTATTTATATTTTATAGGTACCTTATACACATTACTTGAAGGTAATTTTATATATTTTTGTATTCAGCATTTAAAAAAATTTCTTTTAGAGAGATTTTTTGCCATAGGACATGTGTTCACACTGGAGTGACAGAGACAAAGAGATAGAAAGTGAGAAATCACCCTTCCTCCTCCTCCCCTCCCCCCCCCCCAGGGGGAAGGCCATACCCCAATCCCTTCTCCTCCATTATCCTCTTAGGATTTGAGGCACATATACACACATACCCATCAGGTCCAGGACTTGGACCATGGTCAACTATGTGGGAACCCAAGGACATAACCATTATGCCATCTGCTGGTCACAGTATTGCAGCATTTTGACCACAATCCTTCATATAAGATCAGGTATGGAACTTCCACTTGTGTCACCATGTTGGTGCTCAGTAAGTTTCAGATTTTGGAATGTTTAAAATTTTTAATTTTCTTATTAGGAATGCTCAACCTGTATCGTAAATAATGCATGTGTATGTGTGTGTGTGTGCATGTGTGTATAATAATAATATTTTACACAAATCTTTCTGGCTACTAGTAACTTTTTTTTTTTTAAAGGTGTTGCCATAGGGAGTATGTGCTTGCTGGAAAGAGACAGAGAGAGATAGTGAGAGAGAAAGTATAATTTTCAAACTGCCAGGTCTGGGACTTGAACTGTAGTTAGCTATGTGGGAATCCAGGACCTTAACCACCATGCCACCTGCTGGTCCAACTAGTAACTTTTTTTTTTTAGAGATTTTTGCAATCCCTTCTCCATTCTCCTCTTGGGATCTTGGGCACATACAGACATGCGCCCGGCATGAGTTTAAGCCACCGGGTCCAGGACTCGAACTATGGTTGACTACATGGAAGTCCAGCAACATAGCTATTACGCCAACTGCTGGTCCCCCAACTAGCAACTTTTTAAAGCTACATGTTATCGTCTTCTGTGGTATGTCTGAAATTTATTTGGGGCATTTAACTTTCCCCTAATGGTTACTTAATTGTCTTAGAATAATTTATTAATGATTCCTTTGACTAGAGACTTGAGATGATTCCTTTATCAGGATCTGCTTCTGACTTATTTCTTCTGTCCTATACATTTTTCCTTCTACCTAATTTTACACCAATACCATACTGATAGGATTTTTGTAATTCTATAATATACCTTAATTTCTTGAAGAGCTGGTCCTTCCTCAGTGTGTGTGTGTGTGTGTGTGTGTGTGTGTATAATTTATACTGATCCCCTCATCCATTTATTCAATTTATAAATTACAGAATCATTTCCTTATATTATAATAAAAGATTTCTGGGCACTGAACATAGTTTTACATAGTTTATTCATTTAAACACTTAGAAAAGGTCTATTCTACCTTTCCAAGCAAAAAAATTAACCCAAAATCCAGTTGACTTAAATATGGGGCTTTACTCTCTATGGAGAAAGTAGTTAGAGTGGTAATAATAAGTTATTAGGTCATCAGGAAAGTCATGACGTATTTTTCTATGTCTTTCTATGTAAAAATGTGTCATGATTTTCCTGATGACCCAATATTTATTCAGAAAAATATCCACATACCCAAATGAAGGAACATCGGTTTGATTTCCCTTATTTATTGCAGGACTCAATTTGATATAGACAGCTCTGAGTCTTGGAAAAAGTTTCCCCTCACACTTCAGCTCTAAATCTAAATGGGATCATTTGAAAGAAACTACACAAATTTGTTTTTTGAGAGATTTTTTTATAGGGTGCGTGCACTCACCAGAGAGACAGAGAGACAGAAAATGAGACACACACCCCCCCCGCCCACCACCACCAGGGATGGGATGGCCACACCACAATCCCTTCTCTTCCTTTTTCCTCTCAGGATTTTGGACATGAATGTACACATGACAGGCATGAATTTTAAGCAGCTGGGTCCAGGACTCAAACTGTGGTCGACTACATGGGCGTCCAGCAACATAACCATGACATCATCCACTGGTCCCAAGAGCATGGTAACTTTGGCAGTCATTTGATTTACTCTGAGGTGTTTTTGCTCTAAGTTTGGCAGTAGCCTGTCATTGAGTATGCATGATTTATAAATAAAAAATGGGAAGGAAATGAAATAGTTCTTGAGTTCCACCTGTATGTTAGGCATGTACTAGACATTCTATATACATGAAATAATTTAGTCCTTTTAGCTACTGACGATTTACAAATAAAACAAGCTAGAGGACTATGAAGTCACGGAACCTATAAATGTTACAGATGAAGTTCAAATAAAGGTATGGTTAAGGCAGCTGGTCTCGTAGAACAGTGGTTAAGTGCTATGCACTGGGAACTGGATCTGACGTAGCCAACTGGGGTTGGAATCCTGACCCAGGTGGCTTGAAAAACAAACTGATTATGTGCACATGCCTGCCCCAAATCTTGAGGGGATGGGAAGATAGCGCAAGGAGGATACGACCATGTCCTGTTGAAGCGTACTTTCTCTCTCTGGCAAGCACATATACCCATTAACAAAAAAGAAAAAAAAAGCATGTTCAAGGTAAAAGTCATTGCATGCCCGATTTCTCCTTTTCAGAGCCCTGACTCTCACCCCCACTCCAGCAAAAACAGAGGGTATCAATGATATTTTAACATTTTCTTTCTTTGGTATAGATTATAGAAGATAAGAGAAGGGGATAGACTGGGGAAGTCTGCTGTCTATGGTGCTGAATTTCATTTAAAATACATAATTAAAAAAATAAATATTTTATTTAGCTTTATTTCTGTATTTATTTATTAATGTATGTATGTATGTATGTATGTATTTATACATTTTTTTGACCAGAGAGAGACAGAGTGAGAGAGAGAGAAAGCAAATCACCAGGTTCAGGACTTGAACCATGGTCACCCATGTGGGAGTCCAGTGCCCTTAAGCACCACGCCACCTGCCAGCCCCAAAATACATAATATTAAATTTACATTTCATTATATATCTTTGTGGGACACAATATGGATTTTTCAAATCATGCATGGAGTGTGCAGCAATCAGATCAAGGTTATTCGCACAGTCTTTATTTTCAAAGAACACCACCTGGTGATGTATATCTTCATTTTTACCCTACTAGTTTCTTTAGGGTTTCCTTGAGATATGTATATATAAGAATGACAACGTCTCTGTTTTCATCTGTTGTGGTACACCCTTCCACAGCCCATTGGCCCCATCTACATGCATTCCTGTGTCTGTCAAAACACTTTTTTTCCTTGAGCTTCTCCTACTAAGGAAGTGTCAAAGTTAGGTAAAATGTTAAACTATCATTAGCAAGATATTCATGAGAAATTAACGATAATAAATCTTAAGCTCAGAAAAGTGTCTATGAATAGAATCAGCCATAAACTATGCCAAATATGTTTCCAGTTTTAGAGTAAAAATCAAAGGTTGCAGCAACAGGCACTTTCCCCATTATTTATCTGTTAGGTTGTTGGTAAATTCATGGCATATTTGTCTATATTTTTCTACACAACAATGTGTCATGGCTTTTCTGACAACCCAATAGTTCCTAACACCAACAGTACAGGATAAATGTTATTATACACATTTGTTTTCAAAGAAAGAAAGTGAAACTCAGAAGTTATAAGTAACTTTCTTAAAATTACACAAGTAGTAGAGGCAGTATTTGAGTCTCATTTTCTGCCAGCTACTTTCAAAGGTAGCCCCTGCATCCTTTGTTCTTTCCTAGAACACAAATGTTTTGTCAGAACTAGAAATATTTTTTGGTGAATACTATTTTGAGCATAAGATTTATGGTTAGTTTGTCATGAATAACTTGTCATAGATGTTTTAACATTTTTACCTCACTTTGGCACTTTCTTATTTTAAAAATACAAGTATTGGAAGAGAGATACTCATTATCTTTCTTTTTTTTTTATTTTTAAGAGAGGGATTTTTGCTGTAGGGTACGTGTGCTCACCAGAGAGACAGGGACAGAAAGAGAGAAATCACCCGCCAGGGGGGTTGGCCATGCTTCAGTCCTTTCTCCTCCAGTTTCCTTTCGGGATTTTGGGCATGCATGCGCACATACCCAGTGTGAGTTTGAAGCCACCAGATCTGGGATTCAAACTGGGGCTGACTACACATGGGAGTCCAGCGATGTAAGGACTACACCATCTGTTGGTCCCTTCTTAGTATATTTCTACCAAGAAACTTCTCAAATGCCTAACAAGAATGAAAATTTGAGGCATATTTCTTCTCAAGATAGGAAGGTACTGCTTGCTTTATGATAGTTACATATAGGAGTCACACAGTCTAATGAACACAGAGTCTTACCTGACACGTTGATATGTTAACTCCCTCAAAGGTGTACCCTTCTGTACATGACACAGAAATCTGCTTATTCACACCAAAATCATCCCCGTGAACAAGGATATGTGTCGTGTTGGCTGGCAGAGGACATTTTTTGAGACTGCAAGAGATTTTTTCAGGAAGCCAACGGCCATCTTTCTGACAGGTAAATGTATCTGTATCTGTATCCATCATATAACCTTCCAGACACCTGCGAAGGAAATGCAAAAGTAAGTGCCTTAACGAAAAGACCAACGCTTCCTGATTTATTCTTGTTTTTAAAAAGGCTGTTGCAAGGTCTAGCAAACATTTTATGTGATAAATCAAGACAGATTAAAACGCCAAGGGGGGTGGCATTGCCATGCAAAATCACCACTGTAACTATGATAATAAGATGAATCCCCGGTTATTCACATTAAAGATGAGCCAAGATGAAAGGTTTTTTTAATGTTGACATTACCTTCATTTTGAATATCATTATTGAATTGAATATATTCTAAAAACAGCTATCAGTTCAAGACATTCTAGCTAAAATAAAAAAATAGACTCAGATGTGAGTAGGGATATAATATAAATAATATTTATTGAGTACCTGTTTTGTACCAAGCACTAGCCAGGTCTTTTACATATGATATTTTTAAAAATCCTGATTATTAAATATTATCATGGAATGGTAGTACTGGTATTCAAACTCAAGTCAACCTAGTTCTAAAACCATCGATGATTTTTTTTTTGAGAGGTTTTTGCTATAGAGACAGAGGGTTTTGCCAGAGAGACAGAGAGACAGGAAGCATGAAATCCCCCCCCAGGGGGGATGGCCATGCCACAATCCCTTCTCCTCCATTCTCCTCTTGGGATCTTGGGAATGCACACATACATGTGCCTGGTATGAGTTTAAGCCACCAGGTTCAGGACTCAAACTGCGGTTGACTACATGGGAGTCTAGCAACATAGCCATTACGCCAACTACTGGTCCCATACCATCTATGATTTTTTAAATTTGTATTTATTCATTTGTTGCATTTAGTCAGCAAATGTTTACATAGTATTTATTAAAATCCAGTTACTGTGCTATGTGCTCCATAAATAGTCACTCATTACATTCTCATGTGGCATGGTTAGGTGCTATTATTGCCTTTATTCTCATTTTACAGATGATGAAATTGACACTAGATAAATTAGATTCCTCAAAGTCGCATAGCTTGGGAATGAAAGAGCTGAGTTCCTATCTATATTAAAAAGGCAGTGTGAGGGACTAGCAGATGGTGTAATGGTTACATCACTGGACTCCCATGTAGTCAACTGCAGCTCAAGTCCTGGACCCTGTAGCTTGAAACTCATGCTGGGTATGTGTGCAAAGTCCCGAGTGGAGAATAGAAGAGAGGGGATTGTGGCAAGGCCATCCCCCCACTAGGGGGAGGGGATGATTTCTCACTTTCTGTCTGTCTCTCTGGTGAGGTCACCCACCTTATAGCAAAAATATCTCTCTCTCAAAAAAAAAAAAAAAAAAAAAAGAGGCAGTGTGAGGCTAGCCATAGGCTGGTGGTTAAGGCTGCTGAATTCCATATGTCTGAACCCACAGTTGGCATCCCAGATCCAGCAACATGAAAGACACACACCAGGCATGTGTGTGTGTGTGTGTGTGTGTGTATGTGTGTGCCCAAAATCCCCAAAGGGCAGAGACATGGAGGAGATGGGATTTTGGCAGGACCATATCCCATGGAGGGTGCTTTCTTACTTCCTTCCCCTCTCTGTTTCTCTCCAGTAAGTACACCTGCCCTGTGGAATATTTTTAGAAAAGCAATAGATAAATAAATACAGTGAATACGGTGGCAAAAGTATGGACTCTAGAGGTAACCTGGTTCTCTATTTCTATGGTTCTACCACTATATTCCACTAACTTTTAATTTAAATCCATTAACTTGATTATTGTGTAACATTTTTAAAAATTTCATAAACCACTAGATTAGATAGGAGTCAGCACTTTTGTAAACTTAGAGTGAACTTTTTTTAAATACTAAGCAAAGATGTGAAATAGGATACAATCAACATGTAGCAAAAATGAAAAAAACAGGAAGCTTTCCATAGGGCGGGCGCCACCACGCCCAAAACAGGAAGCTTTCAAAAACAGATAACGTTGTGGCATCTCAAGATACCCGACACACCAACATCCAAATAAAAATTTTAAATGGATTTCAAAACCAAAGAATATTATCTATATTCTCCCTGCCCAGTACATGATCCATTACTCTTTGACTTTCTTATCACCTGGATCTGCTTCTTATTGCAGTTAAGAAAATATGAACGTGGGGCTAAACTGTCCACACAGAAATGCTTAAGGAGCAGTGTTGAATTATTAATTAAATATAACATGACACTATGTGAAGGATAATTCATAATTCATTCCAAGATATGAGTGCATTTTAAATAGTTTTAGAGGGTTGTAGTATCTTTGAACATTATGGATATTCATTCTAATACAAATGTTAACACAAATTCATTTCATATTTTCTCATTTTAGTCTAACAATATAAAATACTACTATTATTTTTAAAACCAAATTTTTATTTTATTTTATTTTAGAGAGGTTTTTGCTATAGGGCGCGTGTGCTCGCCAGACAGACAGAGAGAGACATAGAGACAGAAAGCGAGAAATCACCCCCCCAGGGGGGGATGGTCATGCTGCAATCCCTTCTCCTCCATTCTCCTCTCGGGATCTTGGGCACGCACACACACGTGCCTGGCGTGAGTTTTAAGCCACTGGGTCTGGGACGTGAACCGCGGTCGACTATGTGGGAGTCCAGCGACATAACCATTATGCTAACTGCTGGTTCTCAAAACCAAAATTTTAAGTAAAGAACTTGCCAGCAAAATTCACTATTTAGGGACCAGCAGATGGCATAATGGTTACATCACTGGACTCCCACATGACTGGCTATTGGTTTGAGTCCTGGGCCCAGAGGCTTGAAACTCATGCCAGGTGCATGTGTGTGTGGTCAATATCCCAGGAGGAGAATGGAGGAGAAGGGATTATGAAGTGGCTATCCTCCTGAAGGATGATTTTTCACTTTCTGTCTCTCTGGCAAGTGTATGTGCCCTACAGTAAAAATCTTTCTAAAAACAAATAAAACAAACAAACAAACAAACAAATCACTATTTGTACATTAATAGCTTAGTTTGTTCAGGTAGGCATAGGTCAAAAATCCTGTTTAGAATATCTCCCTAATTTATATTGGACAATGAAAATATGTGTCCTTTGACCTGAATTATTCAGGTTTTGCCCCATTTTTCCAACATTTGCATGTACACATATAACCATAGTTATAATTAAAAGAAATTTTCCATCATGATGTTTTTAAAAAGTGCCTCATGATTGAAGAACTATGCAAACTAGCTAGAGGATCTTGCTGTTTCATGAGGCTCAATGGAATATGGTCATGATAATTATATTAGAAACTTCAGTTTGAAAAAAGTGTCAATTTATTTTTACAGTCCTCCTATCCGCCCCCTCTCATTGGAGACTGTAGAGCTGTGGCTTACCTGAGCTTCACTTTACTTTCGTAAGTGTGTGCTTCTCCAGTTGCCACTGCATGGGCGACAAAGGGTGGGGGTCCACAGGACAGAGGCTCACAGGCTGGAAAAGGCTGGCTCCATGTTCCTTTCTCTGTACAAATCAGGTTTGAATTGCCTTGCATGACATACCCAGGTCTGCAGCCATAATTTATCACATTTTCCTCCAAAGGGCTACTCTCACTGATGAGTGCATTTGGTATTGCTGGGAGGGAACCACAAGAAGTGTGTTCACAGTGTGGGAAGCCAGAACTCCAGTGGCCACTGTCTTCACAGGTGATTTCAGGAGGTCCTACGAGCTTGAAGCCTCTGAAGCACTGAATCCAGGCTGCCTTTCCACAACCAAAATCTGTCCCATTGACAGTTCCATACTGAATTACTGGCGTGGGACACCTGCAAGGTAGGCAGGAGGGTGGGCTGCCACTCCAGGAGCCATTGGAGAGACACCTTCTTGAAGAACTTCCATGGAGCTTATAACCAGGAAAGCACTGGTACTGTATATGCCCCCCGTGGTAGAAAGAAAACCCATTGGGGAAGCCATGGGCAGCCTCTTCTGGAGGTCCACAGTTGACTGGTTTACAGAGAGGAACCTCTGCATCCCAGTTCCCATCTGACTGGCAAGTGAGTTTTTGAGCACCTTGCAACATGTAGCCTTCCTGACAGTGGAATACCACCTCCTTCCTGAAGCCAAAATCCAGGCCATCCATCATCCCATTTGCCACCTGTGGTGGGCTGGCACACCTGACAGGTACGCAGCTGGGAGTGACTCCACTCCAACTTCCATCAGCAAGACACACGCGACTACTGGCTCCCTTGAGCAAGAACCCTTCATTGCACGTGTACTCAATCTCTTTTTGGAATGTGTACTCATTTCCTCTCACTTGGCCATTTTGTGAGACTGGGGGTAAGCCACAGTCCACTGGAATGCAAATTGGTTCATTCCCATCCCAATTTTTATTTTCTTGGCATGTTCTCCTCTCAGTGCCATTTAGCACATACCCAGGGTCACACTCATAGTACAACACACTAAGATACGTGTAATTGCTTGCTTTGATAGATCCATTCATGACTGGATTTGGTTTTTTGCATGAAATAGCTTCACAGTGTGGAGAAACACCACTCCACTTCCTATTCTGTAGACAAAGTCTTATATCAGAGCCCACTAGAACGTGTCCAGGTTTGCAACTATACTGCACAGCACTGCCCATGGTAGTCTCTGTAAAATGCAAGAAACCATTTTCAGGAACAACAGGCAAATCACATGCCATTGAAATGCAGGAAGGTGCACTACCATTCCAAGTTCCATCTTCCTGGCAAACCAGCATAGGGTTCCCCAAAAGTTCATATCCTGGATTACAGGTGTATGAAACCATGCTGCCATATAGAAAGTTCGATGAATGTGAAACAGGAGACTCCTTTGTATTTTCCCCTTTGGGAGTACTGGGCGGGTGAGGAGTCTGATATGGAACTTCCATCATGTCATCTTCTTGGTCAAAATATCCCTGGCCATCTTTAACTTTGATACAGTCTCCAAAATCTATGTGAGGAGGGAGACCACAGTCTATGGGTACACAGGTTGGGATGGAACTTGACCATCCTGAGTCTTCACAGGTCTGCATGGCATGACCAGATACCTGGAACCCAGGGAAGCAGCTATAGATGATCATAGCACCATAGCTATAATCTGCACCTTCGACAAAACCATTTTCAATGGGTTGTGGGGGGTTGCAGTGGATGGCATTGCAAGATGGAGCATCCACATCCCAATAACCTGTCTCTAAGCAGGTCAAGACGTTGGAACCTTCAAGCCGGAAGCCTCGGTCACAAGAGTATGTAATGGTCTGTCCAAAGTGCAGGTTTGTGTAAGAAAACTTGCCATTCAGAATCTCCTTGGGCTTTGGGCACTCAATGGGTTTACATGTTGGTTTTCCTCCAAGCCAGTTACCATTTTCTCCACAAAGGATGGTAGTATTTCCCATCAACTCAAAGCCTGGTTTGCAGGTGTAGAGGGCTGTGCTGAGGTAGGCGAGGCCTTGCACATCGATGATGCCATTGGGAATTTCCTCAGGTTGGGGGCATTCTACAGGGACACACTCTGGCAGCGGAGAGCTCCAGGTGCCATCCGCTTGGCAGATGGTAGTAGGAGCTCCTCTTAGGAAAAACCCTTCCACACAAGAATACTTGACAATACTTCCAAAATAAATGGAAGAAGCAGCAGGGACACCAAAGGGAATTAGGGGAGGTGGGAGGCATAGGACCATCTTGCAAACTGGAAAAGAATCATTCCATTGCTGGGATGGCAAGCATTTCAGGACCGAGGGGCCTTGCAGGGCAAGTCCTTCTTTACATGAGAATGTCACCACTCCTACTTCTGTAGTCAACTCCTTCAATACTAGCTGGTTTTCTAAGAGGGGTGGTTCTGGGCACTTGGTAGGCACACACTTTTGGTTTGGCTTCTTATTCCACTTGCCAGATTTCTGGCATGTCCAAGTGTTGTCACCAACAAGCTCATAGCCCTCGTGACAGAAAAAATGAACCTGGGACCCCACTTCAAAATTTTCTCCTTTCATGTAGCCATTCTGGATCGGGGGAGGTTTTCCACAGTTGAGAGGAATGCATGACAGAGGGGACTCACTGTGCCAGTGGCGATTGGCGTGGCAGACAAATACAGGACTTCCAACTGATTTAAAGCCTGGGTTACACCGATACCGCACTTCACTCTCAAAAATCCTGCCAGTTGTATGCTGTGTAACAGGGAGAAAGTGAGTGAGTACAATTTGCGTAACAGATAATATTAACTACATGTTTGAATTGTATATAAGAATTGAACTAAAAAAGTCTACATTAAATTAATTTGGAATTAATTATTCATTTTGTTTACTTATGTGTTCCTTGAGTGGTCCACATGCACGCAAGCACCATGACATCCCAGACTTAATCTCTATGGTTAAATGCTAGATTCCAACACAGTACTGTGCCTGGCACCTAATAGGATCTCCAGATGTATACGGTAAATAAATGAAGCAAGCCTGCTGAATATGCTCTATATCCTCTTCCAATAAACAACTAATACATCTAAGGGGACAAGCAGATGGTACAATGGTTATGTTGCCGGACTCCCACAGTTCGAGTCTCGGATCCAGTGGCTTAAAACTCATGCCAAGTGTGTGTGCGTGCATGCCCAAAATCCTGAGAGGAGAAGGGATTGCGGCATGGCCATTCTCCCCTGGGGGATGATTTCTTGCTTTCTATCCTTTCATGTAGCCATTCTGGATCGGGGGAGGTTTTCCACAGTTGAGAGGAATGCATGACAGAGGGGACTCACTGTGCCAGTGGCGATTGGCGTGGCAGACAAACACAGGACTTCCAACTGATTTAAAGCCTGGGTTACACCGATACCGCACTTCACTCTCAAAAATCCTGCCAGTTGTATGCTGTGTAACAGGGAGAAAGTGAGTGAGTACAATTTGCGTAACAGATAATATTAACTACATGTTTGAATTGTATATAAGAATTGAACTAAAAAAGTCTACATTAAATTAATTTGGAATTAATTATTCATTTTGTTTACTTATGTGTTCCTTGAGTGGTCCACATGCACGCAAGCACCATGACATCCCAGACTTAATCTCTATGGTTAAATGCTAGATTCCAACACAGTACTGTGCCTGGCACCTAATAGGATCTCCAGATGTATACGGTAAATAAATGAAGCAAGCCTGCTGAATATGCTCTATATCCTCTTCCAATAAACAACTAATACATCTAAGGGGACAAGCAGATGGTACAATGGTTATGTTGCCGGACTCCCACAGTTCGAGTCTCGGATCCAGTGGCTTAAAACTCATGCCAAGTGTGTGTGCGTGCATGCCCAAAATCCTGAGAGGAGAAGGGATTGCGGCATGGCCATTCTCCCCTGGGGGATGATTTCTTGCTTTCTATTTCTCTGTTTCTCTTTGTCTCTCTGGCAAGTACATATGCCTTGTAGTAAAAATCTCTTAAAACCCCCCTGAAACTAATATATTTATAAGCAAAAGCCTTAAATAAAAGACTCTATGTGTTGTTTTTGAATATAAAGGAGAAACGATATTATATGTGGGGTTTTTTTTGTTTGTTTTAAGGATTATTTATTTAATGTAATTTAATTATTTATTTTAGTTTGATGAGAGAGAAAGAAAGTGAGAAAGCAAGCCATGAGGTCTGGGACTCAAACCACAGTCAGTCATGTGGGACTCCAGTGACCTAATCACCATGCCACCTGCTGTCCTCTATGTGTGGGGACTTTTTAAAATGTTTAATTAGAATACTGTTTATTTTAAATGGCCTTTGATTTGGGGAAAACAGATTCTCATTCCTGTTTTCTTGATGGACTTACTGAGAAAATCTGTATTAGCATGAAAGCAGGACACATTTGAATCAAACTTAACTCTTTATCCATCAGGGTAAAATTATCTGTAGGTCTACTAAAAGAGTAATGCAAAAACTGTAACTTGGTTGGCTTATCCTAGATTTTGTCGAGAAATAAGAGATGATAATAGATTTCTCTGGCTTCCATTTAGACCTTGATTTCTTAAAATAGAGTATACATCTACCTTGGAATACGTTTTACCAAGCCAAATAGTATTTTATTAAAATTGGTTTATTCTAATTTCATAGTTAGGGCTAGGGTATTGCCAAAGTGCTTAGAATAGCAACACGTGAAAAGCTATATATTAAAAGGATTTATAATCATCATTTTTCCCCCACTAGTCACAACCTACAGATTTGAGCCACTTCTACTTTTCAGCAATTAATCTGCTCACTGCCCCTGCTTCTGAATATCAAGTTAGTCACAGAGGGGATGGCCCTAAGCAATGAAAGCCATGGGCCATTTGCTAATTGGTGTCTTACCTCCAGAAAGGCATTCTCAATCTTAGGTGGTTCATTGCAGGATACAGGGTGGCATGTGGGTATGGGGCTGCTCCATTGCCCCGTGGCTTCGCAGGTGCTCTTCTTCTCTCCTTTGATGTAGAATCCCTTGTTGCAACTATAAGCCACTGTGGCTCCAAAACTGTAGTTTGATCCACTTGCATAGCCATTCATGATGCTCGGTGGCTCTCCACACCGCACAGGGATGCACTGGATGGACATGGGGGATGGGTTCCACTGGCCGCCTCTCATACATTCAATCTTTGCTGAGGTATTCAGCACAAAACCCTCCATGCATTTGAAGCTCACAACTGAGCCAGCTGCAAATTTTGGTTTGCTCACAGATTCCAAGATGCTATAGGAAACAGATGGAGGTTTTTCACAGAAATGAGCAATGCAACGGGGCATGGCCTGACCCTCTGGGGGAACCCACTTTCCATGAGCATTGCAGAGGAGCTGAGAATTGTCTGCCAGGCTGTAACCATCGGAGCAGTAGTAGAACGCAATGTCTCCGAAGAGCCGATGGGCAGTCTCTGGGGAGGCGTGGTCTATGTTGGGAGGCTCATCACAGGAGACAGCCAGACACTGCTGGTCACTTCCACTCCACTTGCCATTGGCCAGGCATTCAATGGTGTCAGGACCAGCAAGGGTATAGCTGTGAGATTGAGAGAAAAGAAACAATAAGCATCATATTTCATAGAAGTGTTTGCATCTTCTATTTTTATTTTTAAAGTTTACTTATTCTACGAGCAAGAGAGAGACAGAAGGGCAGACACAGAGAGAGCATTCCTATTAGAGTTTTTTTGCAATCTACCCCCCTCCCCCCAGCTTCAGCCAGATCATGGGCATGAGCTGTTCACGGTGTTCAGAGAAGTCTCCAGATGTGAATCTGGAACTTTGTGAATCAGCCTCACAAAGGGTTGTATTACCACAGTGCCACCACTAGGCCCTGTGTGTGTGTACTTATAATTTCCAGAGGATAGGTGTGCTTGCTAGAGAGAGAGAGACAAAGAGAGAGAAAAGAGACAGAGATAAAGAAGCACTAATGGGGTGGGGTCACACCACAGTCCCTTATCTTCCATTTCTCCATCCTGTTGGAATTTGGGGCACACAAGGACCTGTGCCCAGCATGTTTTTCAAGCTGCCAAAATCAGGATTTGAACCACAGTTGGCCATGTGGGATCTCATTTCTTAACCATTAAGCTATGGAGCCACCCTCTTCCTCCTTTTTCAAACTTTTCAACAGTAACCTTACTTTTATTCTGTATACTTTAAAATACCATTTACTCTTTGGTTATTGATATTATTGATTAAGTTACTTTTATTTGAGATATTTAGATATATTTTATTAAAAAGTTTTTTTGTTTGTTTGTTTAAGACAAAGTCTAGCTATGTCAAGATTCTACTGCCTCTGCCTCCCAAGTAGCTGGGGCTACAGGCGCATGCCACTGTCTGACTTCTAGGGAGGACTGAGACTTTAACCGAAACCTCCCATGTGGCCTGACTGCTGAGTAGCAGCATCAACCAATATACACTACTGAAGCTGGGCTCACAATTACTTCTTGATACTAACATTAATGTTTGTTTGGAAAAGGAAACAGATTAAAGATTGTTTGCTTTTTAAGGAACTCTGTTACACTTTTTTCAAGAAAATGAAAATAAAGAGTAAGTTATGGTCCCATTTGACTCAATTCACGATGGGAACTCCATCTGTCTTCAGATGATTTCAGTCTTCTGTTTCTGTACTCATTTTTTTTTTTGAGAGGTTTTTTGCTATAAGGCGTGTGCGCTCGCCAGACAGACAGAGAGAGACATAGAGACAGAAAGCGAGAAATCACCCCCCAGGAGGGATGGTCACGCCGCAATCCCCTCTCCTCCATTCTCCTCTTGGGATCTTGGGCACGCATGCACACACGCCCGGCGTGAGTTTTAAGCCACCGGGTCCGGGACGTGAACCGTGGTCGACTACATGGGAGTCCAGCAACATAGCCAATATGCTAACTGCTGGTTCCCTCTGTATTCATTTTTGAAACAAGCTCTGATAAGCCATATTTAGCCTACATACTGCTCTTAGTTATACACTTAAGTTCAGTAAACTTTACAATGGTGATTATAATTTCAGTCTTCTGGGTCACCTAAACCCATACCCACATAGAGTTGAAATCTGTGTTCTGCCTATGGCTGTGCTATTCAATCAGTATGGGTCAAGTCTGCAGAACTCTTTATGCCCAAGGTGTTTGCCCAGATATGATGATACACTGATGCTTTCAAGAATCTTAAATCACTCTTCTGTGCTCTTTCAATGGAGAAAGGGAAAATATCAGGTTATGCAGCATTAGAATAATTACATTTAAGTCATTCTTATTTTATCACTCCCTTACTGAGGTGACAGATGGTAATGAGTTTTGGAAGAATATGTATTATCTGATCAGTCTGTCACTTTATACTAATGAAGAGTAAGAAAACAAATATAATTGGGTACCTAATTTAACATTGCTTAGATACTAATTTATTCATGAAACAAAATAAGTAAATGATGACGTAGGCAGGCTCATAAACTTGCTAAGCTCATACAGCTGCAAGAGTTGGGACCTAACGTTGGGTTATCATTCTCACACCTAGGTCTTTTCCATGATACCATTCTGCCTCGGTCTCTCTCTCTTTTTACGATAAGGACGTTTAGATGATAATTTGTGGGTATCCTATAGAAACAATATTGCAGTGTCACCAGTACAAAGTGTGTGATCCTCGGCAAAGATTATTATTATTTTTAATCACTTTATTTAACTTTATTTATTTATTTTAATTTGCCTGGAGAGAAACAGAGCGAGTGAGAGAGAGAGAGAGAGTGAGCGAGCAAGCCGCCAGGTCCAGGACTCAAACTGCAGTTGACCATGTGGGAGTCTAGTGCTCTTAACCACCCTGCCCCATGTTGGCCCCATTAGCAAAGATTCTGAAGTCATTGGTTACCAAAAGGTTTTCCTCAGGTTAATTTTAGTTCTATAAAGAATTAGCCACGAGAGAGAGGTTGGACTTCCTTCATGCTAGCAAGTTATATTTATGAAATCTATAGGAGACAGACAGAGAGGTCAAGAACATGATGATAAAACAATAGAAGAGAGATGCCCAGCACCCTCTCTAAAGTCAGAATCATGATACGAGCAGAAGAGGTCTCAAAATAAACACCCACCACTACCCCCAGGAGCCGAGTACAGTTTCCAGTCAGGGTCTGGAGCAATTCATTGTTTGGGATAAGCTCAGTTCTTTGTATAAGGATCAAACTAAATAGATTCCGAGGTGGCTTCCATTTTAGAGGATCCACAGAAAGGGATACGAAGACAATAGGAAAGAGAACAATTTTATTATTAAAAATCAGTTATGTTGTGAGTGCCCAGATTTCGCCATCCCTGGACTTTGGCTGTGCTCTGGGTAGAAGTTGCATTTACTGAGGCTCCTGATGTTTTACAGGACCATTTATATCCTTTGCACTCTTTTCACTGTGTGTCATTATTTTCCCTTGATGTTGGCAGCATATTTCCTTGGCTGAAGTTCATAGAGAGAGCCTTAGATATCCCTGAGTTATAAGGATTCATTGTGCCATCTATAAAACTCTGCCTTTATTTCACGGGCCCAGCTGCTTTGAGGCAGAAGCATCTGCCTCTAGAACCTTCTTTATTCCTCAAAGTCTCTTGAGAACACAAGAATTTTGTTTCGTAATTTGGCAGCACTTCGGAAGGGCTCCGACCCCTGATCCTCGGGAAAAATCTCCTTCAACTACTTCTTCGTGGAAAGTCACAGCAAAGCAGTTTTATAAGTTAATGGAAGATTACCATGAAATACATAGTTTTTTGAATAAGTGAATTTAAAGAGTGCAGTTTCAGTACTTACTATTTAGAACCCGCAACATCCCTCAGTGTAACCGAAGATTCTGGTTTTCCACTCACTTAACTAGTTTTTCATTAAGTAATTTTTAAAGGCCTGCAGTGTGCCAGAGTCACTTCCTTAAGTACCCAGAAAAGACGCCTGTGCACTTACCCTCTGGGTTCTGCCATCACTCTTCCTCCAACACACTCCCTGAGGGATCATAGGCTCCCTTTACACCCAGAGTGGTTGATTAAAGGAAGGGTGATTGCTTCTACTGGAAGAATGGGAAGGGAGGAAAGGCTTCACAGATGAGTTCTTGAAGGGCATCGGGAGAAGAGAGAAGTAGCAGAGAAATCATTTAAGGCAGGAAAGGGGTGTGGGCAGAGAAATGGGAGTGTGACATAGTAGGCACAGCCTGGGAGTACCTGGAAAAGGAAACGGTGCTCACTAGGATCTGGTGTGCTGTTTTTTTTTTTTTTTTTCCTTGGGAGAGGTTTTTGCTATAGGGTGCATGTGCTCACCAGAAAGAGAGAGAGAGACAGAAAGACAGAAAGTGAGAAATCACCCAGAGTGGTTGATTAAAGGAAGGGTGATTGCTTCTACTGGAAGAATGGGAAGGGAGGAAAGGCTTCACAGATGAGTTCTTGAAGGGCATCGGGAGAAGAGAGAAGTAGCAGAGAAATCATTTAAGGCAGGAAAGGGGTGTGGGCAGAGAAATGGGAGTGTGACATAGTAGGCACAGCCTGGGAGTACCTGGAAAAGGAAACGGTGCTCACTAGGATCTGGTGTGCTGTTTTTTTTTTTTTTTTTTCCTTGGGAGAGGTTTTTGCTATAGGGTGCATGTGCTCACCAGAAAGAGAGAGAGAGACAGAAAGACAGAAAGTGAGAAATCACCCCCCCCCCAGGGGGGATGCCATGCTGCAATCCCTTCTCTTCCATTCTCCTCTCGGGATATTGGGCACTCACACACACGCACCCAGTGTAAGTTAAGCCACCAGGTTTGGGACTCAAACCACGGTCAACTACATGGGAGTCCAGCGACACAGCCATTACGCTAACTGCTGGTCCCGGATCTGGTGTGCTCTTTAACAGGGTTACTGCGATGGTCGATGGGTGAAGACATGTCAGGCAAATATTACGGCACCAAGTTGTGTGACATTGTAAGAAATTCGTATTTGGTCTCTCTCCCTGGGTCCTGACACAGAGCTCCTAAAGCCCTTGTAATTTCCTGAGTGATAAGTGTCCCAGGGCTTTGATGACCAGATGCCCATTCCATGAGGATCAGGACAGAGGTTTATTAACAATAAACTGCACCAGTCTTTCGCTAAATGCTAAAAAGGGATATACTTTCCAAATGACACCAAAAGAGGAACTGTTAGCTATTGCCTGGATGGCATTATCATGTTAGAAGTCTGAATGTGCACTGAGACTTCAGGGGATGTATTTTACTAAGAACCACTTAGAAAGTGATAAACTTCTGCACAGAGGAGGAGATATGCCCTATAAACATCGATGACCAAAGCAGAAAAAGACTGGAACTAGTGCTAATCCAAAATGATGAGATATTTACTTAAATTCTGTGTGACTTTTGTTATTCCCATTCAAGAAACATTGAAGATACTCTTGCAGACGTGGATTAAAAAGCAGGCCATGCATATGCTGTTTTACGCTAATTCCAAGGAAAGATGGCCCATCAATATCACCATAATGCCTTAGAAGAACACATGTGGGAACCAGCAGTTAGCGTAATGGCTATGTCGCTGGACTCCCACGTAGTCGACCACGGTTTGT